GGGGCCTGGCCGAGCCGAGCTGGCTGCAGTGAGCATCGCTCTCCAGGCGGTGTCGGTCTGGGCCTCCGCCGTGTCCCCCTTCGCCCTAATCAGTGCTTTTCGGGTGTGGGTTGTTAATGTTAACGTTGAGTATTGTATTTTTTTTTTTGGTGTTTTAGCAAAAGGACAGAAAATCTAAAAAGTCAACCTGGAAGTTTTGCCTTGACTTGACCCATCCTGTGGAAGATGGAATTTTTGATTCTGGGAATTTTGTAAGTCGTGGTTTTGCTCATACTTCTCGTGCGTAGCATAACGACAGCCTTAGTACGGTACGACAGCGGAATGACACCTGAAAAGTTGCGTTTTAAACTAGTAAAATCAACAGCTGTTTTTTAAATTGTCAGCAGTTTTTGAAGGTCTCTTGGGTTTAGATGTCTTTTATAGACAAGACGGGTCATACCTGTCTGTGAATAGAACTGCTTTAAATTGAACGCTGTTCTAGCACGGGGGGTGATTTTTTTAATTACAGACTGTAAAATCTTACTGCATTGTAAATGCTTGCTGTCAGGACATAAGCAAACGGTGATTTTTAATATCGCTCTATGGCTAGGGTCCCTTCCCTAGTTCACACCTAGGGTGCCATTCCCTAGTGTTCTATTTCTTTAATGTTGAAACAGGAACAGTTCCTAAAGGAGAAGGTTAAGGTCAATGGAAAAACTGGAAACTTGGGCAACACCGTTCATATTGAACGTCTGAAGAACAAGATCACAGTGACATCCGAGAAGCAATTTTCTAAAAGGTTGGCATAGGTTTCCTTCTCTTGTACTTGCGATAGTGGGTTTGAACAGTCGTATGTTGAACGTGATGATTTCTGATATATATAGAGGAGGTGTCATCGCTAACCTTTGTGGCACTTATAAATATTAGTGAAAGGTGTAATTCAAACAAATTTATATTAGATATTTTTAAAAATTGCTTTTTAAAGCACAGGACTTGATGGCAAATTAATGCTTCCTCTAGTATAAACATAGTAATGCAGAGATGCTTTATATAGGTTGTTAGAAGTATATCAAGGAAAGAGATGCCTTTAAAAGTCATGCTGAATTCACATCACAGGCGGCTGTTTCATTACTTAAGTGGTTGTATTAAAGCGTCTGTGTATGCAATACGTGTTGTTGCAAAAGAACCCCTTAAGTCAAATGAAGCCTTAAACTGCTCAGTGCGTTAGGGCATGCAGCAGGTGAGTGGGCTGCAGTTCCTTCCCGGCATCCCCCCTTCATTTGCTGATACAGGTGCACCAATATTTATTGCGTTAGACCAAGGTTTAGAACCACTCCTCAATGCTTTTGAGTTACTGGCATTGTGCTACGTAGTCAAAAAGTGTCAAATAATAAATTCTTATGTATCTGGAATGAAAATGTACTTTTATTACCTGTTACGTATGGTAATTTTTTAGTTCTGGATATAATTAGTGGGGCGTTGCCCTGCTAGGGCCATGCCTTGGGTGGAGTGCGGACAGCAGTATGGGTTGTTAAATGAGAAGGTTCTAACGTACAATTACTGTTTTTAAGGTACCTAAAATACCTCACAAAGAAGTACCTCAAGAAGAACAACCTGCGTGACTGGCTTCGTGTCGTTGCATCTGACAAGGAGACGTACGAACTGCGCTACTTCCAAATCAGTCAAGATGAAGAAGGATCGGAGTCTGAGGAATAATTGAAGCTTAGCTTTATACTCAGTACAGCGTACAGAAAGACTAGAACATCTATTTATAAGAACATTTAACTTATTGGTGAATAAAGATTTTGTACCCTGTTCAACAGAGCGTGGTTAGTTTTCTAGCTTTTTTCTTAAACTCTAATTAAAAACCATCACAGGGAATCATTTGATTTGCAGTTTTCCTTCCGTTGCTAGAAATCAGAGCTGTTCAACGTGGCGTCAGTGAGAGTCCAAGTAGAGAAGAACTGAGCCCTTTGCCCAGTGCCCAAGTAGGACAGTTACATCCGTGTTTAATTATATTTTTACAAATAATGCTAGAGCTCTTTGTGACTAAAAGTACCAGCTCCTTCTGCTAACTTATGTGGAGCTAATGATATAATTTTTAATAAAAGTTTAGTTATTTTAGTTAAAAATCAGGCTTACGTATTTTAAAAGAGATTTTATTTGTGTGTGATTTATCCAAATCATTAATTGGTTGTAGTACTCCTGTGTGTAACCCCAAGTCGAAGTGGAGGATAACAAAAAGATGTGTTAGCCAGGTTTACGTTAGATCGACAAGGAGGCAGAGACGAATCTCACAGCCAGCGTCCAGCTAAAACAACTTAAAGGAAGGAGTGAGGTGTGCCTTCGTGTTGACAGTGACTGAATCCCACTAAATCCATGCAGGTGTTTCTACTGTTACGATGGTGTATTTTATGGTTCTTGTATTTGACTTCTGGGATTCTTTCTGTAATGTAAGTATTACTTCAGTACAAGTGGCGGGTTCTTCATTGAAACACAAATCACTCCAGATCCTATAAACCACTTGTTTTGTTCATGTAATATCAAGAGAAATTTGATTAGTTTTCACTATGAAAAAGTGGTATTTGTGAGCCTGCAGCTGCGGTAACTGCTGCACGCGTATGCGTTTCAGTACTGTATTCTGCCAAACTGGTGATACACTCTGCATGTGATTAATTAGAATATTTGCTCTCCGGTTCCAGTGCAATGGTGAACTCTGGAATTGGTAATGCTGTTTTTGTTTAATATCGTAAAACAGGGATGCATGTAGGCTCTGATACTGAACTTTCTGTGCTTGAACAAACTGCTAGTTTAGGCTGAAGTGCGCCTACTAAATTGTTTAATTTCCTGCTGTGTTTTTTTTTTATTATTATTTCAGCATTGTTTTGGCTGGCAAACCTCTGAGGCAGGCTATTGAGAGAGCTGCCAAACACAAAGCGATGCGTTAGCAGTCGCATGACACCCATTTGTGCTGCCGAAATCGAAATGAAAAGCACAGAAGGGGAGACGAATGTTGTCAGCAGCCTCGGGGCCTCGTTTGTCGTTTTGGGGTTCGCCCGAGCGGCTGTTCCTGGGAGAGGAGAGGAAGCAGCAGTGGCACAACAGCCACCTGGGTCATCGCTCCTGGGTCGATTTGTTTCGTTTTGCTGTTTCAGAACTGGCGAAAGGAAGGGAGCAGCGTCTGTAACTGGCTGCGAGGCTCAGGATTATTTCCTAGCTCACATACGTTGAGCTTTATATGCTTCTGTGGAAATAACTAAGAGCGCCTGACGTCCTGCCCCTGATCTAAGGCACTGGATAATGCCAGAGTGCTGCCCTGGAATCGCCCGTTTGAGAAAAATCAGGTAGTTTTGAAGGAACGATTAAAGGTGGCTGGGTTCTTCCTTTTCTGGAAAGCCAGAAGGTTGCTAATGCTTTCTGAAAGCGGTTACAGTGTTGGTAGTTAATGCTGTGTTGAGCAAGCAACACTGTTTTTCACAGTAAAGCTGCAAATATTTGAAAACCTCTGGTCTGTTTTTGCTGCACTGGAGTTAAGCAAAGGGCATGGCTAACAGTAGTACATCAGAATACATCCCCGCCTGTGTTTTCGGAGTTGGGCTTTTATGTGGCAGTACATCCTTTATGCTGCCACAACAAAACCGTTCTGATTAAATGGAACAAGCACAAACACAACCAGAGCTAATAGGATCACGCTGCTGCCTTATCGTTCTTTTTAAAGCAGGCTGGCAGCGACACGTGTAGCTGCGTCGCCTAGCAGATACAGATTGTCATTAGTCAAAAGACAGGAAAACAAGGCCTGGGATTTCAAGCAAAGCCACTGATTCCATAGCTGGGTTTGGAGGAAAGCTGCCAAAGTGTTCATGTGAGTTGTATTACCCGCTGAGCTTCACGGCAGTGAGGATGGAGCCTACAAATTCCTTGAAAACACGTTAAACTTTGAGAAAACAAAATTCAATATTTCTGATGAGTATGGCTCTAGAGTGCTTAACATATTTAGGAAAATTTTCCTTCCTTTAGATACCAGCCAGAAATTTTTGGTTTATCCCTGCGTTGCTGCCCCAGCTCTGCTGGCCGTACCCAGGGCCTCCCGTGCAGCTTTCTCGTGCGGTTACCAGCTTTATTGGGTCAGCGGGATCAGTCAAAGTGCATATATGTGTGTTACAGTAGAAACTACAAAGAGGGGGGCTTAAATTTAAATGGAGTGTTTATAATAAGATTGTTAAGGTTTCACGGAGAAAAATAGCTGGAGTACAGAGATGAGAAGCTGGCCTCGGACAAAGCTTCAGAAAAAGGGCGATTCTTCCATAATGTCACGTATTTCACAGCCAAAGAGGCCAGGTGTAATGCAGGTGGCAGGCAGCAAACAGCCTGTTATTGCTCACACAAGGTAATTAATAAGAATTATCCAGATTAGAATCGAAGCGAGCTTTTTTAAAAGCCATGGGTGAGCGATTCTTGGATCTTTGGTGGGGTCTAGCTCATTGAGATGGCAGCTCTGCTGTGCCAGGAGCTACCAGGTACCTTCATCGGGGCACCTAGCACGGCAATTGTTTTTTTCCAACTAGAATCTGATGTAAAATAACCAGTTTCGTTCATCTTTGTTTTGAAAGTTAAAAGATCCCGAACAGCTTGAAAACGGACAGGATTGCCTGGCGGAATTTTCCATATTTAGTGCTGGACAAGAGCCCAGAAAAGCCCTGCTCGAGGGAGGGACGGGCTCTCCTCGGAGCTGCAGGGACGCGCGCTCCTGCGTCAGCCAGGCGATGAAGCTGCTGGGAAAAATAACGCACTCACAGCAGGAAAATTTCGCAGGTGAGCAGGGCTGCTGCCAAGTTTGGTCCCCGTGGCTCCACAGTAACACGCTCAGGTCTCGGACAATGCTCAAGGTGCTTTAGGATTTCCAGAAGGGATAAGCATGAAATCCAGCAGCAGCGAGTGCTTCAGGAGCACCGCTTTGCCTCCACCCAGCTGAGATCCCCAGTTCATTAAGCCAGAAGTTTAATTTGGAAAGAGGAATAATCTCTGCAAAGCACCAGTTGCACTGGTAGTGCAGCAGATGGGCCAGGGCCAGCGCCTGTGAGCTCAGGGGGGCAATGGCACCGTAACTCTTACAAGGCTTTAATATAGCCAAAATTATATACATAATATATTTTTTTTTCTCCCCCCTTTCATTTTTCAATAAACGTTTCTCCCCCTCATTTCTCAAAAATGTTTTTGCTGCTCTCTTCCAAATAAAAATCAGTTTATGAGAGACCTCCCACACATGGAAAATTTCAGTGTCTGGCAAATAAAAAAAAAAAAAAAAAGATTTATAAGCACAAGAGCTACATGGCTGTTGCCAGAGCAGCAGTAGCAGCACCACATAGGCTATTTATGTGTGAGCATACAGCGATATTATATTTCTGCACCATCAGTCTCTATCACCTCTACTGCAGCAAGACTCTCACTGGCTTCCATTAAAAAAAAGAACAACAAATCCCACAGGGTTTCGCCAGTCTTAACCACCACTTGTAAAAGTTGCTTCTAAAGGCGTATCCATACACTTTCTGTCCGCTTGCCCTTCTGGCCTGTAGCGTCCTCCGAAAACAGCTTTATCATATACCCAAAACTAGTAAGATCAGAAAGAAAGAGGCAAATAATAGCAGGAAATAATCTGAAAAATGTGTCAGGGTACTAACGTATACACTAGACCCAGCATGTGGCAGGTATTAAAGGAGGCACAGACTCAACATATTCACATAACAGCACAAAGTAATTAGAAACAGAGAGGCCCATGGAAAAATAAATACTCACTAATAGCTTCAATGTACCCAACAGCAGGAAACGAGCTTCACTGGTGGGAGTGATCGGATTACACCAAATATAGACAAAAACAAGGAAAAATTGCTGTTTCTTTTTAAAGACAAAAACAAAACGAAGGCTTCTTATCGGTCAGATCAGAAGGGATCAAATGCCTCCTTGTCATGCCCATGTTGTGATGCCCCATCGGGTTACCGCCCCGGCCCGGTGCCCCGGTCCCCCGACCAGCCCCATTGCCCCTGCCCGTCAGCCCTTGCAGCAGCACACAAATATTGGTTTGTGCTGATGCCCCGGGATGGTCAGCGGCGGGCAGCAGGGGGGGCATCCATTGCCTTTGGAGGCCTTTTCCACCTTCCCACTGAAGTTATTAATTCTCACAGCCCATGCTTCCCACTCAGGTCAATAAAATATGGTTTATTTTATATGGGTATGTTTGATATTGAAAGGAGCGTCTTTGTCCCATGGACTTTATTAGCTATGTTAGGTGAAGCGTCCCGGCATGATCCCAATCCCACAAGCAAGGGGCTGTGATTCCCTCTAGCAGGTCAACTTCATTCCTTTTTTGCTGATGCCTGTCACAAGGACCACTCTCTGAGCAATAAAGAGGCACAGAAGCTGTGACTCAATTCAGTGTCACCAAAGCCAGGAGAAGGAGAAAGAAGGAATAAGTCAGAGGCACCAAGGAAGCTCCCTGGGACAAGCCGACAGGGACTTGTGTAAGCACCATCCTCTTTCAGCATCCAAATCCCCCAGGCACGTCCTGCTGCTAGCCTCCGGATCGCTGCCCAGCTCTCCTGCGGACACGTGAACATCTAAAGTCTTGTAGCCCGTACATTTTTGGTAGGACGCTGGCATAGAACCACTCTTAGTCTTGCCCTGGCACTGCAGCTGCTATTGAGTCCCAACTCATGCTAAAGCTGCTGCTTGAGAGAAATGCTTTTGCGGAGCACAAACCATAGGTGGGAGAGGTGGCCCGGGGATAACTGGGCCAAGTGGCTAAAACATGCCCCAAACGGCCTTCAAGCA